GTGAACATTTACGTACCACACAGATACCAAGATGGAAGCGTTGTTGGTGTATTTTGAGCTGTAGTTGGTGTGAAATGAAGTGGCGTCGAAGCGGAGATTTACGATCACGCTTTCCTACCTGCTCTCTATTCATGTTGTTTGGCACAGGGCCTGCGTGCGGGTGTATTTAGCGTGTGTGGTTGCAGAATGAGCATTTGACCGGCATTTACGGGTAATTAGCGCAATAATAGGCAAATGACTAGAGAAACAATTAAGACTTTGGTAGTAAATTATACATTTCGTGTTTATTTACCTTTTTTTTATTGAGATGTTCCAAGTGCCTGTGGCTTTGAACGCAGGAACGTGAGATTTACGAATTGAATTTTTATACTAGGGCTTATATAAATTGGGAAACGTATAACGATGACAGGGCTTGGCGTACGTACCCACGATTGTAGGACATTCTAAAAATCTATAGTACAGTCCGACCTCCTTTATCTGGCCATCCGTTATCCGAAAATCTATATTAACCGGCCGTGATCTCACAGTGTATGTTCTCTGTTTTTCATTCATTTCCACCTAAAATCTCGCCCCAAAATAATTTAAACGTGGCGGCAACGCATTGAAACGGGGGGGATGGGAGTTTTCCCAAACGGGGGCGGCGCGCTCCGGTTTGCGCAACGTGTAGGGAGAACCTGACATTATCACATGCATAAACCCTACTGAACTGAATAGAAATGCTCGTTGTTTGAGCATAACTCCATATCCGGATGGGTGCCGGTTCCCGACCGTGGCCGGATAAAGGAGGTCGGACTGTATAATGATATAGCTCTAGTGCTATATATATATATCCCTGGTGCTGTGGCAACGAGAAGTACTATAGTTATATATCTAAAGGCGTGAATGCGCTTCATCGGCCATACTGTTTCCAAATTATATTAATAAATTATTTATATTATAAAACGGCATTGCCTGCAACAGGAATAACAGATTTTGTTATTCCAGATTTTGTTATTCCTGTTGCAGGCAATGCCATTTTATGACTCATTAGAATCAGTTAAGATTGTTCATAACTAAGGCACAGGCAGCACTTATTGTTTATGGCCGATGAGCTGCCGAAATTCACTATCGTTCTCAAGTACAACTGCTAAGAAACGTCTACATGCACCTGGACAAAGCTAGCACATTAACCTGGTTGAAAGCTGTATCGCTCGGCTGCATGACATTTAACCTAGATAATTCAAGATCGTTGAATTAACGTGAGCGCTTTCAGAAAGATATTATAAATAAGCGTCGATTTACGGCTTGCTGCCGAATAAAAAAAAATTTAAAAAAAGGCAATTTATGTCTTGAATGTTCGTAGGCATGACGTGAAAAAACTTGTGTCTATCCTGTGCGCTTTCGATATCGCTGTAATCATCGTGAACGTCCGGTCCCCTCGGCCTTATTCATTCAGGCGTTTCTCCTTCCCGACAGCTTTCCCAGGATGTCCGTGTCATTCGATGCGTCGGCGACCCACTCCGCGCCGGTCGTCAGCGACGACGACGCCTTCGCGTCGGGAACGGCCGGCGAGACGTCCACCAGGCGGCGCCGGCTGTTGCGCGTCGCCTCGCAGCACGAGAGCGACATTGACGTGTCGGCTAACTACCTGCTCTCGTGCACCGCCTTCCGGCCGAAGATCGGAATGGTCGCCGGCCTCGGAATCTCTGGCTTCACCAAGGTCAGGGTGCGAAATTAACGCTAGTCCGGAGTCAAATACTCCCTGATTTACTGTCGGACTCCCTGATTTGACATATGCAGGAGCCCGTGTGACTCCCTGAAAATTATGTTATACTAACTAGTTCGTTTCAGAGCACGGCCTCGCGGTATTACCGTATTTTTCCAGCAAATGACCAAAGAAAATTTGGCAGACGTGCAACCGCATGAATCTTTAAAATAAGCACGCGCATTATTGTTAATATCTTTAGTTTTGAACTTCAGTCTGCGGACTTCCTCATTTGGCTGCGGACTCCCTCTTTTTGAGGGCAGGGAGTCCGTTGGAATCCCTTGTTCAAAAGTTACTTTCTACCCCTGAAGGTCGTCGAGGACAAGGAGGTGATCCGCTACGAGGACATCCCCGGCTTCCCGCAGCCGGCGACAGAGGGCGCCGGCGGCGAGCTCGTGTTCGGCCGCTGCAACGGCCGCGACGTCGTCGTCTTCGAGGGCCGCTTCTTCGCGCACGAGGGCTACGACCCGACGACGTGCGCCATGCCGATGCGCGTGCTCAAGCGGCTCGGCGTCACCGTCGTCATAACGACGGGCGTCTGCGGCGCGCTGAACGAGGCGTACCGCGCGGGCGACTTCGTCGTCGTCAAGGACCAGCTGAACTTCCCCGGGTTCGCGTGCGAGAACCCGATGCGCGGCTACAAGGACGACAAGACGGGCAAGCGCTTCGTTGCGATGAGCGACGCGTACGACGCCACGCTGCGCCGCGTCGCGCGCGCCGCCGCCGTCGACGCCGGCTTCGGCGACGCGTTCCACGAGGCCGTCTACTGCCTCATCCCCGGCCCGACGTACGAGACGAACGCGGAGGCGCGCATGATCCGCATGCTCGGCGGCGACGTGTGCGGCATGAGCATGTGCCACGAGGTGATCGTCGCCCGGCACTGCGAGATGCGCGTGCTCGGCCTCGCGCTCATCACGAACATGATCGTGCTCGAGTACAACGACCCGCGCGCCGTCACGCACGACGAGGTGCTGCGCACGAGCCGCGCGCGCGTCGGTGAGATGCGCAAGCTGCTCACGGGCATCATCAAAAACATCGAAGTGTGAGCGCGCGCGGAGGCGAGGCGTCGACGCGGGGGGGACGGATCGCGGCGGGGTCGGGCGACACGTTTTCTGATTGTTGTGGGGTCAGTCAAAATCTCATGGCAACGTGTGGTCTGATTGTCACAGCATCAGGTGAAGTGTGGTCTGATTGTCACAACATCAGGTGATGTGTTGTCTGATTGTCACAGCATCAGGTGACATGTGGTCTGATTGTCACAACATCAGGTGAAGTGTTGTCTGATTGTCACAACATCAGGTGAAGTGTTGTCTGATTTTCACAACATTAGGTGACGTGTTGTCCGATTGTCACAACATCAGATGAAGTGTGGTCTGATTGTCACAGCATCAGGTGACGTGGTCAGATTGTCACAACATCGGGTGAAGTGTGGTCTGATTGTCACAGCATCTGGTGACGTGGTCTGATTGTCACAGCATCAGGTGATGTGGTCTGATTGTCACAGCATCAGGTGATGTGGTCTGATTGTCACAGCATCAGGTGATGTGGTCTGATTGTCACAGCATCAGGTGATGTGTTGTCTGATTGTCACAACATCAGGTGATGTGTAGTCTGATTGTCACAGCATCAGGTGATGTGTAGTCTGATTGTCACAACATCAGGTGACACGTGGTTTGATTGTCGCAACATCAAGTGATGTGTGGTCTGATTGTCACAACATCAGGTGAAGTGTTGTCTGATTGTCACAGCATCAGGTGAAGTGTGGTCTGATTGTCACAACATCAGGTGAAGTGTGGTCTGATTGTCACAGCATCAGGTGAAGTGTTTTCTGATTGTCACAGCATCAGGTGAAGTGTTGTCTGATTGTCACAGCATCAGGTGAAGTGTGGTCTGATTGTCACAACATCAGGTGAAGTGTGGTCTGATTGTCACAGTATCAGGTGATGTATTGACTGATTGTCAACAGCACCAGTTGAAGCAGTTCTATAATCAGGCTGCACGTCATCTGATCGTTTCGGCATCAGGCGAAGTGTTACCTCGGCGTGCCATTGTCTTAGCGCAGGGCTTTGTTGTTAAGAGTGTTGGTGTGTGAGGAGGGGCACCTGCATCATCTGAGTGTGGTGTGTCGTTAGGTGCGATTACGTCTCAGCACATGACATCGTTAGGTGTGCGGTGACGTCATTGCAATGGCTTCATGTCATTCCAAAGATGATCTGGCCCCAGATTTTTCAGCATTAACACATGTATACTTTACGCCGTTATTGTGCTACGTATACGTAAATGCACTAATACGTGCGCGCATACTTGCGCGCATATACTTTAGTATACATGTGTTCATGGTTTCGCTGTTAGGGGAGAAGACTGTGTAAAGCTTTCAAAGGTGTTACCAGGAGATGTTACGGTACTAACGTTTCTGCGTGCTTGCATTTATCGGTCGTTGTCATCAGTGTTTTGGGATTCTAGGTCGGTAGAGCTGGCAGATATCATTGGCATGAGTTATTCTGATGTTAATCCGTGTATCTATATATCTAGATATATTCATCTGTATATCTATCTATCTAGCTATCTATCTATATATAATTGCAACCAACCTATTTGTTTAGTGGTCTATTGATCTATCTATTTATCGACTAGCCTATATTATTTAACTGTCTATTAATCTATCTATCTGTGTATATATGTAGCTATTTGTCTGCCCACCGGCTTGCCTGCCTGCCTTTATGTCTACCTATCTGTCTATCATCTATTGAATGATAACATTTCTTACTGTGATTTTGGTGGGAAACGGCGAGCGAGATTCTTCCATTATTCAACGTCAACTCGGCTGTAGCTGGTAATAATGATCTCTTCTGTTTTTTTAATCATTCCATTGATATTTCGTTATAAGACTTGCTTGTTTATTTCATTCGTGTACCTATTCATCTACTAGGGTTTGCAAATAAGGGCTTGCTACCTGCTCTCAACGTTGGCAGCAAGTATTTGCTGCCAAGAAATTCCTAATAAACCATAGTCAATGCACCAAAGATTCTACCTGGATGAGAAAATTTGCTGCCTGCTCTTTTCTCTGGCAGCAAGTATTTGCGACCTCCCCATGAATCAATTTCTAACCCTGCTTCACACTCACCCTATTACACGTACAATTACATCACGTAGCGGCTGTGTAAGGAAATCGAGGATACGTACACGGTCTGCGACGCGTGGATGAAATGTCGTTAGTTGGCATTGGCTTCGTCCTGTCGTCTATCGGGTGTGCCAGGTACGAATGTGTTCGAGTCGTGCATCCGTAGCAGTGCAGTCTCACGCACACTGTCCTAAATACGTTGGCGTTTGTACGCTGTTGTCTACAGTCGTTGTTTCCGTTTCTGCGCAGCGCACAAATACTCGTTGCAATACTGTAAGCTGTACTACTACTACTTACTACTGTAAGCCCCCCCCCACCCAAAGACCTGCTGTTGAGGAAGGGCGGTATAAAGTTTTGGTGAGGTATCGCTCGTGCGTGCGGCGAATGTCTTGTGTGTCCACAGGAAGGTATACTTGTCACCCAAGCATCCGTAGAGACAAACCGAGTGTGTACAGCCCGCCGTATATATATATATATATATATATATACAAGCGCGTTGTATGCTGATTTTTGCAAGCTGAATAACGTAGACCTTGCGTCTGTGCATGCTTGTGCGCGTGTGCGCGTGTATATCATTTTATGTGTGTGTGGATTGCAGGCTTATATCGTTTTTCTTCAGAACGTTTCGGAAAATGTAATAGCGTGGGTAAGCGTTGAAGAACGAGTAGATGTTGGTGAACTGGGGAAGTGATTTCGTAGTTTTCCTGTGCAGTATGTCACTGCCGCACGTATAGGTGCACGATGTTAGTATGCATGTTGTTGTTGGACTGATGGCGTTTACCCGCGCAAGCTTTTGTGTAGAGTGCACGCCTGGGAATCGCTGTCAGAACACCCGCTAGTTAAATGATTAGTCTTAGTCCTGACTTCCTGTTCGTAAGCCGTTGTCGGAATAATCGTTGTGTCTTTATCGCGATATATTATAGTAGTGTCGTAAATATTATTTTTCGAATGTTTTGTCGTTCTCGCAAGTTTCTTTCTGAGAAGCCCTTCCCCCAGGTTGGTGTTGAATGAATCGAGCTGTCCTTTGTCGCGTAATCGACTTTGCAGTTGGCTTCACCACTCCCCATGTGGGTTATTATCCTAGCGGTGTGCGTGCTTGGGTGTGTGGGGTGGGGTGGGGCGGGGGTTATTCCTAAGATTTCGGAGTGTAGGTTATTCCAAAGAGTCTGGGGTGGTGTGATTCCTAAGGGTGGTTGAAGAGGGTCGTGTTTATGGTGGGGTGGGGGGAAGCGAGTCATTCCAAAAGCTGAGGAGAGAGTATTATTCTAGAAAAAGCGGTAGGTGGAGGATTTGATAGGTGGGAGAAGAGGGAGGGATTTATGGGTGATGTGTGTGCGGTGTAGATGAAGTGGCTACTCTGTATCGGCTACACACGTTCCCAACTACGGTCTCTCTGTACGGGGATGCATGCAGCACTATGTGCGTGCAGCATTAGTGTAAGAGGGACATTTAAGAGGGACGTGTCCCGATATCTAGGCAGCTAGAGCGGAGGTGTATAGAAGGAATAGTATAGTATACAACAGCAATGGGAACATTGGTCTGTAACGCACAAGTATGGCAGTAGCGTTTGTATGTGCGTGTGTGTGTGTGTGTGTGTGTGTGTGCGTGCGTGCGTGCGTGCGTGCGCGCGTGCGTGTGTGTACATTTGTGTGTGCGTGCGGGTGTGAGTAACTTGTGTGTGCGTTTGTGCTGTTCTACGGCGTTGGAAGTCGATGAATTTCAATAGTTTAATTACTGTCATGCCTGGCTGCGCTGCTTAACTTAACGTCTGTGTAAAGCGCGTAGACGGACTGCGAATCCATCCATACATAACCTGCTAGCTATAACTGCCACACGCATCTAGAGGATATGCTATACGACCCTAGTACGTCCTGATGCTATGTTGATACGTTACAGTAATGTGTGTTGGCGTGTGCGGTGACAGTTAAAAACACGTCTTGTCGGACCGCCCGCAGTAATGCTTTATGGAGTTGCTATGCGCGTGCCCGTGGAAATAATACGGGTCAATGTGTTAATGATCGTTTGGTGTTAACGAGAGAGCTGTAGCGTAAGTGTATAACGATTGATGGCCAACTCAGGCACCACATTACTAGCTAGCCGAGCGCTACCCGTGTAGCCCTTCGCTCCGTAAATGCTTTATCTACAGCAGGGCCTTATTAAACTCGGAGGGTGACTCTGCAATCGTGCTGACTAGCTGGTTTTGATGCGAAGGCGGGTACGTAGGGAAAGGTTACACGGGTAGAGCGGTATTAGTTGAGCATGCGAACGCCAATCGCTTGTTAATATACCTAATCTATATATACATTGTCTGCGAGAAAATATGCACACGTAAATCTCGCAAATTCATGTACTCTGCTGCGTTGCTACTATGCCGTTGCTGTGCTGTGCACTGTGCAATAGACGTTACCATTACATGTGCATGTACCCAGTGATATAGCCGGTGTTACTACTAAACTGCAACTATAATAATAAACATGACCATTACATATGCTTGTACCCAGTAAGGTAGCCAGTGTTACTACTAAACTGCAAACCTGACCATTATATATGCCTGTACCCATTGATAATATATATAGACAGTGTTACTAATAAAGTGCAACTTTAGTAATAAGCGTGACTATTACATATGCCTGTATCCAGTAATAATAATATAGCCAGTGTTACTACTAGACGGCCTGTAGCAGCGTATGTGTGGGCTATCTATCGTATACGTGTCTTAGTGAAAATTTACCCGGATTACTATGTTATCTGAAGTGACATAACGGATGAGAGAGAGAGGGAAGGAGATAGATAGATAGAGAGAGAGAGAGCGGCTCGAGAGGAGGAGAGAGAGAGAGAGGGGGGGGGGAGGGGAGAGATAGATAGATAGAGAGGGGGAGAGGAGAATGAGAGGGGAAGGAGAGAGATGGAGCGCTAGTGAGTCTAGATCTGCCTTATGGTCACTCCTGATGTACCTCTAGATCTGCTATGTCACTTCCTGATGTTACTCTAGATCTCCCTTATGTCCTCCTTGATGTACCTCTAGCATCTGGCTATGTCACTCCTCCGATGTTACTCTAGATCTGCCGTATGTCACTCCTGATGTTACCTCTAGATCTTGCTTTATGTCACTCCTGCATTGTTACTTAGATTCTGCTATGTCCTCCTTGATGTTACTTCTAGCATCTGCCCTATGTCACTTCCTGATGTTACCTCAAGTATTGCTATGTCACCTGATGTTACCTCTAGATCTGCTATGTCACTCTGTGTTACCTCTAGATCTGCTATGTCACTCCTGATGTTACCTCTAGATCTGCTATGTCACTCCTGATGTTACCTCTAGATCTGCTATGTCACTCCTGATGTTACCTCTAGATCTGCTATGTCACTCCTGATGTTACATCTAGCATCTTGCCTATGTCACTCCTGATGTTACCTCTAGCATCCTGCCCTATTGTCACTCCTGATGCTTACCTTAGATCTGCATAGTCACTCCTGATGTTTACCTCTAGATCTGCTATGTCACTCCGATGTTACCTCTAGATCTGCTATGTCACTCCTGATGTTACCTCTAATATCTTGCTATGTCACTCCTTGATGTTACCTCTTAGAATCTGCTATGTCACTCCTTGATGTTACCTTCTAGATCTGCTCATGTCACTCCTGATCGTTACCTCTAGATCTGCTATGCTCACTCCTGATGTACCTCTAGATCTTCTATGTCTCAACTCTGATGTTACCTCTTAGATCTGCCTATGTCCTCCTGATGTTACCTCTAATCTGCTATGTCATCCCTGATGTTCTCTAGATCTGCTTGTCACTCCTGATGTACCTCAGATCTGCTATGTCATCCTGATTACCTTAGATCTGCTATGTCACTCTGTGTTACTCTAGATTGCTATGTCACTCCTGAGTAGTTACCTCTAGATTGGCTATTCACTCCTGAATGACCTTAGATCTGCTTAGTCACTTCTGATGTTACCTCTAGACTGCCTATGTCACTCCTGATGTTACCTCTAGATCGCTATGTCACTCCTGATTGTTACCTCTAGATCTGTTATGTCACTCTGCATGTTAGCTCTGAGATCTGCTAGTCATCTGATGTTACCTCTAGATCGCAGCGTCAATTGATAGCACGTAAGCTTTGTTCTTCATCTGAGTCATTCCATCTACAGGTATATACACGTTAAAGATTTTTGGCGTCCCTGTAACCACTGGCGTACTGTTTGAACCACGTATCTAGTGGCATAGACATTATACAATACGGTGCAGTTATATAAGGGCGTTGCTGGTGAGACTGAGAGGGTCTATGTACCCCAGGGTACTGCCGGAACGTACCCTGGGTACGGTCCGGTATACCGGAACGTACCCTGTTATTATTCAATATGCCGACCCGTACCTCGCCTGACTCCACTAACGATGTCTAGCGGAAGTCGCCTACGCCTACTCCCTAACCCTATACCCTCTACCCTTAACCCTAAGTACCCAACCCTAAAAACCATATCAAATATTACCAGGGTACGCTTCGGCGGTACCCTGAGTGGACATACGACCCTATGAGCCGCTAGTGCAGAGGCGCTTGCTGTGCTGCAATAGCGGAGTGTGTATGTGCGGCCGGCGAGTCCAACAGGCCCCTTGCGTCCCAGTAGCCCACTATTTTCTTAATTACATAATCATCCACGGACTAATAACATATAAATGTATTGTGGGTATTCTCCTTGCAGATGTCCAACATGGAATTATAAAAACAAAAACGGAAATCAATGACTATCTTAATTGCTTTCAGAGGGTTTTAAACTTTCTGAATTTCCATACAAACTTCACGCAAACTCTTGGACTTGCCCGGGCCATCTACATCTGCCGTCCCAGACAGTGTAGTGATATGAGGGAGGATGACAATATTGTCTTGTTGTCCCGCCATGTGTCGTCGTCATGCATCCGTGTGAGGGAATGTAATTGTGTTGCTATCGTAAACAAATTAAATATACGTGTTACCGTGCGTTACTGCAGCGACGAGTTGTGTCTGTTCGTTTCTTTCTTTCTTCATTCGTTTGCCTCCCTAGATACAGGGATATCTCATATTCTCCCTCTCGCTCTCGCCGCTCTGCGGCTCTCTTCTCTCTCTCTCTCTCCTCTTCCTCTCTCTCCTCTCACTCTTTCTCTCTCTCTTCTCTCTCTCTTCTCTCTCTCTCTCTCTCTCCTCTCTCTCTCTTCTCTCCTCTCTCCTCTCTCTCTCTCTCTCTCTCTCTCCTCTCTCTCTCTCTTCTCTCTCTCTCTCTCTCTTTCTCGCTCCAGCTCTCTTGCTACCCCCCCCTCTCTCTTCTTCTCTCTCTCTCTCTCTCTCCTCTCTCTCTCTCCTCTCTCTCTCTCTCTCGTAGCATATATAATATATGATTTGTTTATTCGATTCTCGCGATGTTAATTCGAATCGTTTTGTAGGCAGTGAGTCGTGACTTGCTTGTGAACATCCGGCCTGCCTATTGACTACGGCAGCCAGGTCGCCTCCAGAGAAAAATCTAAAGCAGGTTATCGCGAAACTCGACGTTGGCAACTCGTTTACGACTTCACTATTTGCTCGCGGGCCACCAATGAAAACGTAAAGTATCATAATATATATATATATATATGCATGACCAACACGCACAACACACACACAACCCACACACACACACACACACACACACACACACACACACACACACACACACACCACACACACACACACACACACAGCACACACAACACACACACACACCACACAACACAAACACACACCAACACACACACAACACAAACACCAGCCACACACACACACCAACACAACACACACACACACACACACACACACACACACCACACACCACAACAACACACACACACACACACAACACACACACACACACACACACACCACACACACACCACACGCTATATAATACACACACACACACACACACACACACACAACACACACACACACACACACACAATCACACAACACACACACACACACACACACACACCACACACACACATTATTATATAATATACTATACACACACAACACACCACACACACACACACACACACACACACACACACACACACACACACACACACACACACACACACACACATATATATATATAATATACAGCACGTAGTATCCGGGAGGGCGCTGGCGTAGTCCTATACCTCGCGGGCATTACCGAGTGAGAAATTCTAGTTTCGTTCGACTGCCGAAAGACATCGTGATGCAGTGTCGGTGATGTCGTCGGCTGGTAGAGGTGGCTGCTGCGTCAAGTCACGCTGTCCGTCGTGACAGAGATAACAGACGACGACAACGATCACGATCACGACTCGTCGATCGACGTGTCAAAGTGGTGTGCAGACGCTTGTGATAGAAGCTAGAGGACGCCTAGAGAGAGAGCGAGAGAGAGAGAGAGAGGGAGAGAGAGAGCGCGCGCGAGAGAGAGAGAGAGAGAGACGTGCTGAGGCATCACGTTAGCGTCGTAGCACACACATACACACACACACACACACACACACACACACACGACACGCACGCACACACACACAAACACGCACACACACACTCACGCACGCAAGCACACACACGCACGCACGCACACACACACTCACGCACGTACGCACACACACACACACACGCACACACACCCACACACACTGTGCATAAGAGCGCTCAGCTGTCAGCATCTTCATCAGATAACATCCGCCAGTCCGCAGTGCGGAACGCTACTACGCCCATCGCCAGTGACTTTCATCGGTGGAGATTACTCCCGTGCGTCTTGTTATTGCCTTTCCCTCTCAAAACGTTTAGTCTCTTCTTTCTCGGCTCGCTGCTCGCGGCGGGATTTAGAGAGAGGACTGCTCCACCGTGATTACCGCTATCGTGTTTGTCGTGGGTATTAACTCGAACGCATCTCTCTCCGCTTTCTTCGGCGGCATGCGTGACGGCCCAGCGTGAAAAGATGCGTCGTCAAACGAGCGCGTGCGCCTGAGATCGCCACGTATACGTGCTGACGACAAGCGACAAGCGCTCGATCGTGTGTGTGTGTGTTCGCACGAGCGTGAAACATTGCGGTGACGGTGGTTCGCATACGATCAGCCCCCGGCGACGTCTCTCTCATGGCGGCCACGCCTCCGTCGCCGTTCGCAGACGATTCCAGGAACGAAATCGCCAGATATAAGATACGCTGTGAGAGCGTGAGATACTATGTAAGAGCGTGAGATACGCGGTGAGAGCGTGAGATACGCGGTGAGAGCGTGAGATACGCGGTGAGAGCGTGAGATACGCGGTGATATTGTAAACTTACTGCTGACATCTTAGGATAGACGGTGAGTTAGTGAGATAAACGGTGACATCGTAGGATACTGGATAAAATCGTAGGGTACGCGGTGTCATCGTGGGATACACGCTGAGACATACATGGTAACAACATGCACGATGCGCCATGGCGCGATACATGGTAAGACCGTGTGACACGAGTCCATGCATGCCACGGCGACAGCGAGGAGACGCACGCAAGTTTCCTCGAAAGTTTTCGAAAAAATCGAAAGAAAAAACATCGTCGTCATTTCGTCAGCTGATGACGTAACATTACCTAGCGTGACGTAACGTGACGTGACGTAATAATGGCCGAGCTGTTCATCTATCTATTCCCGCCCGGCTGGTGGACGTTCTTCTTCGTCGCCTTCATCGCGCAGTTCGTGATGATCTTTGTCGGCAACCTGGCCGTCATAACGACGTTCATCTGGGAACGGGAACTGCTGACTCCCGTCAACATGTACATACTGTCGCTGTCGTGTGCTGACATACTCATGTCGGCCTGCGCCGCCGTCTACGCGCGCATACTGCAGTTCTCGCGAGAGCAGCTGGCCGACGACCCGCGCGCCTGCAGCTGGCTGGAGATCTGGTTCGTCGCCGGCTTCAACTTCCTCAGCGGCGTGTTTACGATGGTCGCCGTCGCCGTCGACCGCCACCGCGCCATCGTGCGGCCGACGGAGGCAAAATTCAGCCGACGTCACACGCTCGCCGCCATCGCCGCCATCTGGCTCGTCGCCTCACTGTTTCTCGTCTTTCCGTACGTCATCAGCGCGATCTACGGCGACCGACCGCGCGCGTCGGCAAACGACACCCTCGTCGACGACGACAACGTAACGGAAGTGACGACCACCGGGAGCGCAGCCGACGTCAACGCGACGTCGTTCAACTCGCCCTACATCTACTACTGCTCGGCGGAGAAGCAGAGCGGCAGTTCGTTCGTCTTCTCCGTCGTCGTCGTCGCCAGCTTCTACCTGCTTCCGCTCGCCATCATCAGCGCCCTCTACGGACGCGTCATCTACGAGCTGTACTCGTCGAACGCCGCCGGAGCGTCGATGCTTCCGCCGGAGTCGCTTGCGAAGAAGCGCAAGGCGATCAAGATGATGCTGGTCATTGTTGTGTTGTTCGCTACAGCCTATCTTCCCATGTACGTAGTGCAGCTGGTAAGGACTGTGCGGTTCGGTACCAGCACGCCGCAGCAGGACCTGACTATGGGCATCTTACTGAACATCGCCTACCTGCTCGTCATGTGCAACACGTGGTTGAACGTCGTCGTCTATTCGTTCTTCAACGCCGCCTTCCGCACCGCCTTCAAGCGCATGGTGCGAAGCGTCTGCGGTCGCGCGCGAAAACGCGTGCGCCATCTGTCGGGAAGTTCGCGAGTGTCGATCGAGAAGCAGATCTCGAAGACGCGCGCGACGCTGTCGTCTTCTCTCAGCTCGCTGCAGCGCGCCTTCTCGACGACGGTTACCATGGAGACGACGGTGTCGTCCGCCGGATCTCTCGCTTCACAGGTTTCTGTGATGTCAGCGGTTTCTGCGACGGTGAGCGAGAAATCCGCCGGCGAGGGTCCCGAGCGCAGCGCCACCGCGCGGAAGTCTGCGTAACGATATATTCAACGTCTAGTGATTCATCATGTTGTAATTTGTCAGTAGGATTTTAGTACAGTAGTAGTTGGCAGTACTGAGAAATCGCGAACCTGTTCGGGTGTTGACTTACACAGGAATAACACGCGATAATGCATAATGCATACGAAAGATGCTTTTATGAGCAAGAATGCAGGAATGCATTCACGTAAATTATGACACATCTTTCCCCATTTTTTGACGCGACCCTTCAATGTATATGTTCGAATTTGAACGCCATGTGCTGCTCTCTGGTGGCAGCGGAATCCTTAGACCTGAATGAATCACCTCAAGGAAATTATTACCCGACTTATTAATATATGAATATACGTGGAGATTATTGCTACATATATTTATCTTGTTTTAGCTGTTTCGATAATTTCTAGCGAGTCCAGCCATGAGAGAGAACTATATATGATTGCTATGCCTGCAGTCGTACTTCTCTAGTGTATGGTTACAGGCATATTCGTATAGTAGTAACGTTAAGTACCTGATATGCGCATGCAGTATACCTGAAACGATTCAGTAGTTATCATTGCTGTTCCTTGTGTAACATCTGATTCTCTATATACCGGTGATGGTTCAGAACGAGCGGAAGAATTCACACGCATTCACAGGATTGTAATTTATACCGCTTGCGTATAATCGTTTAGAATTAATAGCATTAATTAACAAAAACAAAGTGCATTTTAGTCTGAGCGTTGTATACTGTTAATCTCATCCTGTTATATCTGTCATCATGGGCATGTTTAAGCATACGAAACACGCTATTAACTTGTATTATTAGCTATATATTAATTAATCCATCAAATAACCTCTTAACATACTCGGTGCCTCCCTACGACAGTGAGGCTCGTAGGGTCTATTGCTGCGTTCACACGAGGAGTTTAGTTGCGTTCACACGCTGAAATATACGCGGCTTGCTAAGCCACGGCTTGCTT